TCAACCTCATTAGTATTCAAGAAATACAAAATAAAGAATCTTTTTTTTTTTTGGTTTTAGCAAAATAGTAAACTTACCAAAAGTAATGATCAGTATTGGTCAATGTACAAGTTTTAAACCTATTTTTAGGAAAATACATTGATTTCTTTTCTTTTTTTTTTTTTTTTTTGACTGGTAAGGGGATCGCAACCCTTGCCTTGGTGTTGTCCGCACCATGCTCAGCCAGTGAGCACACCAGCCATCCCTATATAGGATCCAAACCCGCGGCCTCGGTGCTACCAGCACTGCACTCTCCCGAGTGAGCCACGGGGCCGGCCTACGTTGATTTATTTTCTAAAAAATGAGAATTGGAAAGCAATTGGCAGCTTGTATGAAGTACTTTTAAAATATTCATTCTCTTTCCCAGCAATTCCAGTACTGGGAATCTATCTTAAGAAAATCATCTATAAGCAGATAAAGATTTATGCGCAAAGATGTTGACTTCTGCAATGTATATTATGGCTGCTATAGTAATAGATCCCATTTATCATGCCCTTGTTATGTGCCAGGCCCTGTGCTAATACTTAGCATATCATGACATCTAATTTATATGACCAAAAAAAATTGGAAACTGTGAAATGTTCAACAGCAGAGGAAATATTGAATGATGGTATAATGGACTGTTCTATAACCAATTAAACATGACATATGTAAATAATTTTGATAAGTGAGTAAGTGCTTATAATAAAATCAAAATATAAAACCATTTATGGAATAATTTTAATGTATGTGTGCACTCATAATAATTATGAATGCATATATATAAATAATAATTGCACATATATGTATGTGTGCACACACAGTTATATAACATATACATACAAGCTTGTGTGTGCGTGTAGGTATGTGTATGTGTCTATATATATAAAAAAACAAAAATATACTCAAATGTAACCAATCTTACCATGGTATGGTTATCTTAGAGAGATGGAATTATGAGTAAATTTTACTTTATTCCTTACATTGTTCTGTGTTATAAAGACGGACTAAACATTATATGGAAGAACCGCAAGAGGGCTTCCCTTTATGGGAACTGAGCAGTGATGTGTGTGATACCACTGGTGTCATTATATAGAGTGTGCAGAACTGAATTCATTTTAAATCCTATTTATCTTCAAATATTTTTCTTTGTCAAGTTTCACTCTTGAGATGTGCTGTATAGGCCTACTGCTATTATTGTGTTTCTAATTACTCTTTTTTTAAAAAAAAATAAAGATAAGCATGAACTTCAGCCAAATGACTTGGCCATCTCCAAATCCCTGGAAGCATCCAGTCGGATATATGTCTACCGAAAAGACCTGGCTGACACTTTGGTAAGTACCTTTA